TAATGTACAACCACACTCCCTTTCACACATTTTCACATGTAAAAATCTTTTGTTCACATTTATTACCCGAAACCCCCACTACCCCCTAAATTCAAATCTTTTTCTGAAATGGAATGCGAGGAAATGGGTCAAAACATCAACACGAAAGATTGAAACACAGAAATCAACCAAGACGGACATCAACACGAAAGGTAACATCTAAACCCATAATATTATTTGTTAGTCCTATTCCTAAACATTATGCCAATAAGGTTAACACTTTTTTTTTCATTGTGTACCACGACAGATATGAAGAGATGCAGAGGAAATCATGCGTTTGGAGAAAGAAGAAATGGTTATACTTTTATTTCGTAAAATGATTCCCTGTCAACCACTGATCCGTAAATATTTATTTACATGCATTTATGCTGAAATTATTTGATTAATAACTAACCTTAAAATTTTTGCAAGCTGAAATTGCACCTGGAATAGGAGAACGTTATACCATCCCAAGTTTGCATCATGAGGTATGGATACATTTTCATTTATTTCTAAAGTCGATCCCAACAACATATAACCCATTAATACTGTTCTTCTATTTGTATTATGGAATGGGAGGAATAAATTCACTATAGGAGGCCAAGGACATATGATACCGAGCACTAAAGGCATACCCTATTACTCAAGGTGATAACCACATCCTTATAATTTCGATTTTTTTAATATACTCTAAGTAATAAACAGTGACACCCTACGTTTACATCTGTAGAATAACAGGAGTGGAGAAGGATGTGTAAATGGAAATACTTTTTCTAAATCAATACCCTTTCACATTATAGTAACACTGCCGATGACCTACAAAGTTAAAATAATAACCCACATTTCCCCCATTGAAACATGAAGAAACCACTCAAAATAAATTCCTCTAAAAGTTAACGTGTATAAATTGCATTCTAGATAAAATTCCTAACAGTTGGTATATAAACAGTAAAATGCTTTATTAACTGTAAGAATTTACCTGGGTTGGATCTTTTGGATCCCAACACACACGATTTAGTTATCTTAACCATAACTAAAGCCTTGAACCCTGCATCAATTACCTAATAACAGACTGATATGTGTGAGTACAGAAAGATGTATAATATGAATAAGAGACACACTTTATCAGAAAAGACTAAAAAAACTCTGCAAAATTTGACAAAATAATAGATTCTAGATTGATGGACAAAATACATAGTTGCTGAGCATAATTAGAGTAAACAACAATCACATCGTTGTGCCTAGTCTTAGATCCTTCATCATAAAAGACTAAAAAACTTTGCAAACTGTCATATTATTTTAGATTTTAGATTTGTGGGCAAAATACATAGTCGTTGACCATAAGTAGAGTCAACAGAACATTAATATAGTCAACAGCAGGCACAGCATAGGACATTAATCCATAATAACTTTCCCATACACCAAGTGATTATGCTTTAGTCAGCCAACCAAAATCACCGTTCACAACAAAGTCCCCCCCAAAGTAGATTTTGTTCAATCGGACAGCACGTGCAGATCGCCGCGTGATAACTTTGTCCCTTGGAGGGATTTTTTTCAACCCTGAAGACTCTCCGACGTCTGGGACAAACCTGCGGACATCATTTTCCCCAGATGAACGCGAGAGAAGCACGTGTGACAGAATATTTAATGGGGACCTTTCACGGAGAAAACCAAGACCGTATGAGACCTCACAGCGACGACAGTACCACAAATTACATGCACAACCTTGCGTGTGCATGTTCTCACCGAGTCCAAGTTCAAAACAGACTGCACACTCCCTTATGAAACCACCAGACTGCAAACCTTCACCTAAACCACTCAATAAAACCTCAAATTTAACTTTGGTGTCAACTCTTAAAACATCAATCCAGAAAAACACGAAGGACCTCAAAAATAAGCCCATGAAAACGTAATCATTAAGCTAAAAATAATTGTGATGATCATCTATTTTAATTAGTTATTAGCTATTGAATAGTTTAACAGTAGTTAATAACCTTTCACTCCACACATGTTGATGCAGGAAGTAGTCCCCAGCTGAAGGCAACCGGAAACTGATGTAGAGAAGCCAAGAAATTTCACAGGGGAAGTGATAGATTTTTCACAATGGTAATTCTATTTTTGATCTCCTGGTATTTATAGTAGGTCAATACGTAAAGCACTTGCCATGACAATACCAAAGTTTTAACCCAAAAACAGTGAAATGAAACTATGATCTCCACTAACTCAAAACACACACAATTCGTCCACTAAGTGCACAGTTTACAAATTCAAAACAAACCAATCATGTAAAAGCACAAGTTTCACAGTCTGATCCTGAAGATATTCAGTGATGTGTGCAAATATTTACCACAACATTAAACTCACCAGATCTGGAACCACTGTTTACAATATTTTGTGTACTATAGTGATTTTTTTTCTAAACTGATATCTCATAACTCTATACATAAGGAAACCCTTCGGTAAAAAATCACCTCATTAATTCTTTCCGGAAATATATTTACATACCACCTGCTTCTGTTTTTACTTTCTCAAAATTGAATTTTTGAGTGAAAGATGATAAAATTGTTTCCAATATTTTAACAGGCATTAATAAAATGAGACTAAAAATGTTTGAAAATTGCTAAATAGGACTTCCATGTTGTTATTCCCAAAATATTACTAATTACTGTTACATTTTGACAGTAACATACCTCAAACATGGCTTTGTATTCCATACTTGTAATCAATTTGTCACATTTGGAAATAAAAAATGACAATTCTATTTTGAAATTTTGAAACCTTGTAGTCCCATTTAGGGAACTTTCTCTTATTTGAATGTATAGATCCATCAACAAATTTATATCTTTATGATGGTATTTTCAATAAAGAATATTTTCATATAATTTTTTTTATTACCAATATGACCTTATACATATGTAATTAGTGAGATTAGAACAAAAAAGGAATGTTGGGAGTACACAAAAGATTGCAATTGCATAACATAATTTCCCCCGACCTTCATTTATAGTACAGGAATGTGGATCACATTTAACATTAGTTAATGCACATTTGGAACAGTTTGCACCTTTAATAAAAAAAATCCGACTTTGTAAAAAAACAAATAATACCATTCATTTTAATTTATCAGTTTTTCAAAAAAAAATTAAAAACCGGTGCTCGTACATATATTTATTAGCTTTTCAAACCTGCTTCTATATTTCACGTTAGAATCTATGCAAATTAGTAGTTATAAGATATATATCTAGTGTAAGGTCTCTGAAACTGTTGATATTATTGCCAAAAAATGTGTGCACTTTATTTTTTTTAATAAGGATAACTGGATCAAAAAAAGATTTTTGTATTATCATGGATAAATGAATTAAAAGTTCTGTCTGAGTGAAACTAACTGCCATGGATATGCCAGCAAATCGGGGGGGGGGGGGGGGGGGGGGGCATAAATGGTATATTATGTGATCAAACGGGTTTTCCTTCCACTTTTTTTGCGATGAACTACACTTAAAAAATTATAACACGACTCACTACGAATTATTTCCTTTTTTAGCATTGGAATTGTTGTAAAAAAACAAATAATACCATTACTTTTAATTTCAAACTAATCAGTTTTCAAAATATAGCGGTCCTGGTACATATAATTATCACTTTTTCAAACCTGCTTTTATATCTCACGTTAGAATGTGAGCTTAATCCGTTTTAAAAAAAATAGGATGTATAACTACTTGGTAGTTATAAGATATATATCTAGTGTAAGGTCTCCGAAACTGTTGATATTATTGCCAAAAAAAGTGTGCACTTTATTTTTTTAATAAGACATTACTGGATCAAAAAAAGATTTTTGTATTATCATGGATAAATGAATTAAAAGTTCTGCCTGGGTGAAACTAACTGCCTAGGATATGCCAGCCAATCGGGGGGGGGGCAAAAATGGTATATTGTGTGATCAAACTGGTTTTCCTTCCACTTCCTTTGCGATGAACTACACCAAAAAAATTATAACACGACTCACTACAAACTATTTTCTTTCTTTGGCCTTGGCATTATTGTAAAAAAACAAATAATACCATTTCTTTTAATTTCAAACTAATCAGTTTTCAAAACATAGAGGTGCTGGTACATATAATCATCACTTTTTCAAACCTGCTCTTATATCTCACGTTAGAATTAAAACAGGACTCACTACAAATTATTTTCTTTGTTTAGCCTTGGAATTATTGTTCATTTCTGAGGCGGATATAAACCTGGACTTGCAGGGATTTGCACCATGATTCAAAATTGAGGGCCAAAGAGAACGACTCTGCCCAGTGTTTTTATTTATTTTTGATTTTTGTTTTATCATGGGACTGTAAATATAATAAATAGAATTAGGGTAGATTTAGGGCAACACCTCAGCCTCCGGAAGAAACAACAGGTATGTCACTCAACTCACATCCCAACTTTGCTTGAACCGCTAGAAAACGAAGACAACATATACTTTAAAAAACAAAATTAGCAAACTGCACCCCACCATTCCTAGTTGAGTGGGAAAAAAAATTCCACTTCAAAAACATGTAGGAGTTCGTAGGTACACCTTAATATAATATTTTTTATATAAATGCTTCAATAGTACACATGATGGGAACTCCCTTTATGGCCGAGTCCTGAGCCCAAACACATTTCACACAGCCAAACTATTGGCAAAACCAAACCCTAAGACCCTAAACAGTCATGTTATAGGTATCCAAAGTTGGCCTTATTGTTACACACATAAGATAAAAACATAGATGGACACAGCCACACCTAAAGTTGGGCTTATTAAACATACATAACATAAAAACATGGATAACACTGATATGCATTAACATAGTTAATGCATAGTCTTCATTCCCTTTTCACCCCCCTAGGCTTTTTGGTAGAAGTTGAAGCTTCAAACTCTCCAAACAGGTCACGTTTGAGTTTCTCAGTGTCAACATCCAAAGCATGCCTTTTCTCCTTGGTCAGCAGCGGGCTAGAAACAGATTGCTGTGATGACACAGCCTGAAATTTTAAAAATATATGAGTCCCCAGGTGTCAAGACCCCTACCTAGAATTTAACCAAATATTTTTTAGTAAGTACCATGCTATCAGGTCCTGAAAACTCTTTAGCCAATCTTGTGAACTCATTTTCCTCCTCATCTTCCTCCTGAAACAATAACATGTAAAATATCTTTCGAAGAACATATTAATACGGAATGACAATTGAAATATATCCATACCTCAACAGCATTTATCTTAGATGAGTATAGTGCCAATACTTTGGCATCGGTGTTCATCCTTATGACACTGAACGTTTGATTTCCTTTAAAGCTCCTGCTTTCTCTTTTAAATTGCACTTTAAACAAAGCCTTTATGTCAATGAGGGAGTTTATCTCAGATGGGAAGAAGTGCGGTCCATAGTTCCTCTGCAAGAATACATACCTTAGTTTATTCATCATATATGAGGAAATAAGATAAAATATTGCTTTGGATGAAAACAGACCCTAGATACTTGTTCCTTAAGAGATGCGGCAGACTTCCCGAGCAAACATGAGACCTCCCTATCCCATAGGAGAAAGGAGGCATGTGCTGTGCCATCAACAACACGGACGTTCACTTTATACCTGATTCCATTAAAGATATATTCTTTAGCTATTCTGGGGATTATTTCAAAACAAAAGTTTATGTGTAGATTACAAACCTAAGAACCGCATCATTTGAATTGCAAGAGACACAACAAAAGCTATCCCCGTTTGGTGAAACCTTCCTGTTACAACCTATGCAAGAAATGTAGGACCAATCTTTGTGGCTGTCAATAGCCACAATTTCTCCGTAAACCCAATACCTCCCATCCTGTTTTCAATCCACGGATATAGTCAATTTTAATTTTTTACCTCTTTGAAACTAAAATTAAAATTCACTTGCCTCCTGAAGTTTTGAAAGAGCCTCTATAGTAATCAAATCTTGCTGGCCAGTTGCAATGTCACTATTGTCTGAGTTGTCTGTTGTTATTGAAAATCGAAGTCCCTTGCTGGATCTTTCAGCCATCCTGATATTATATTTTGTAGTATAGATTACGTGTATATTTTATTTGCTTGTGGTAGCATTAATTATAATACCTTGACTTAAATTCCACAAATTCTTCCTCACTCCCGTTTAAAATAACCTTGGTGGTGTTGAACATGTTGGAAACATGAACATGGCCTAATTCAAATCACACGTTAGGTAAGATATTAAAGCAAAAACTAAACTTAAGACTTTAAGATGGATTGGTGTTAAGATAACCTTGGTACTTCCTAGCTTTGCAACACTGGAGCAGCATTACAATTGGCTCTGATGTAGTGAGCTTGTAAGTCAAAAGCATCTCAACCATCGGTCCCCAAAGAGTACATGTGATAACATTTCCCCTATGCAGTAACATTTTTTTAATTGAATTTAATAGGCAGCTAAAATCCACCCATCCAACTCGTTTAATGAACAAATATACAACTTACTCTGGGTCTCCTAAAACCATCTCCATCAGCTTTCGTGGCCTGTCATTTTTTAAAATTGTTTTCGGGTCTTTATCGTGAACTACCTGGCCTATTACGTCTGTATAGAATAAGAATGTTAGTGGGTCTAGTGAAGTCATATTCATAATGTTATACCTGGAAAGGTAAATAAATTGTGTACCAATTCCATATTTTTCATCTAAGTTGTCTTGAGCTTGCAATGAAGCAAAAGACACCAATGAGAAAGTTCTTATGGGGAATGGGACTCCCCTGATCTCAAAGGCAGCACTTTTGTTAAAAAAACAGAGTCTATAGGCACTTGTTGAAGTTTTAAAGAACATGTAGTTCTCCTCAACCATAAAATTTTTCACTGCAAAAACCCGCCCCTCTTTGAATATGCCAATGAATTTGTTGATGAACTGGTCAGGGATGTGCGCATGCATCCTGGATCCCTGATATTTATTGTCAAAGTGTTAACATACATGTTTAAATGCAAAAGTATTAGAGCAAAAGAATGAATTATAAACGTGCAAACCTCTTCGTCATGGAAAACAACCTCCAGCGATTCTGGAAAGCAATCATGGGCTGGCTCACGATACACCCTTATTGCCCTAGCCTTTATCGCCCATGTAGTCTTACTCTGGTCAATCTCACGAAATAAGGACCACATGCCTACCATGTTTAGGAATGAATGCCTTTGCTTCTGTGTAATTTGCTGGATATGAGGTATGGAGATTGAAACACTTAATGTACTCTATTTATAGCTGGAAAACCAAGTCCAGACCAATAATACTCTTCAATGGGATGGGGGGAAAACTGTTCACAATTTTTTGAAATTCAAATTTAGGATTGTACTCGTCCAATGAAAATGAAGTAATATGAGTAGGAAATCTGGGAGAAATCCGTATGGCAGCTTACCCCCAAACTGGACCAATGAAAACTGATTTAAGATGTGGGAAAATCTATATGAAATCCGAACAGTAACCCAAAAACCTCCAACCACACATCTCAACTCTGAAATATTGCAACCCGTCCCTCATTTTGCCTTTAAACCGTAACCTAGCACTCATCTATTTAGAATATAATCCTTGATGCTGACAGTGACACTTCTGAGCGGGAAAAGCAGCCCCCAGATCATTTTGCTATTAGATTATAAGGGATTTGTTACTAAAACAACTTAGAGCCCGTTTGGTAACAATAAAATTGACTGAATTGGTTAATTCTTGCTGAAATTTATGAAAATGTGGCTGAAGTGGTTGTATTGGTCGAATCTTCCGATTCTTGAAAAAATTATATTTAAAATATTTGTTATTAATAAATAAAATAAAAAATTAATTCAAAAAAATAGCTAAAATGATCCTCTACATCAACTTCAGCTAATACAGCTAGAAAAGTAACTTCAACCTTACTATTTCTGCTTATAACACAATTCAGTGCACGAAATAAAAAATTACGTATTTGGTAAAAAAGCTAGCTGATAAGCTAGAAATAGGGGTCACCGGCTCTTAACTGATACTCCACCACTATTAAAGAAAGCAAATGTATATAGTTGATTGGTTGGGGAGTTCGGGTTCCCAGTTCTTTTGTTTTAATTTTTTTCTTCATTTTACTGAACAAGTGTGTTATATGCGTATCTCATAAATCATCAAAATAAATAATTAAATAAATAATTATGAAGAACGAGAAGCGTACGGAATTGAAGAGGTTGAACCGAGCCCAACAAATACTTGTTGTCTCCTTAAGACGAATTTGCCCACAACACACGTAGCAATCGCCTCCCAGGATAGAACGGTTTTTCGTTCCCGAAGGACACCGGCGAACCAAATGATGCACTAACGGTGGAGTATTGGACGTAGAGGAAAAAGAAGACTTTGTGATAATTTTTGAACTTATTTTTTTCTCTCCAAAACCGTAGGAGCCAATTGGGATATAAGTACTCTGGCCAGGAGACTGGTCCCAAAAGGCACCTATTTAGAAAAGGTGACAACCTTTCTTCTAAGAGTTGCCTTATCCAAAATTAATGAAATGTACAAAAATAATGTTTAAGTCTTAAAGCCACGTGGGTACCCACCCGTACCCGAAACCCAACCCAACCCGGCCGGCCAGTGGCGGCGGCGCGTGAAGTTCAATTTCGCGGTGTGCGGGGGACAATTTCTCATTCATTTCAAAATGGTTTTCTACAAATAATATATTGAAATATTAATATGTAAACCATTTTTCCAACAATCCCCCCACATGAATGGGAAATTGGCTTAAGACATAAACAGACGAGATTTGACAGAGGAAGATGGGAACTCTGCATAGGGTTAGGTAGTCGTGAAACTTTGAACCTACCTTAGTGTATATCCATCGGATTTACTGGACAATCGGTAGCACTTTGCTTTGAACCGTCAGCCATTGCGTAAACCTAGACAATGAATAACACACAGAGCCCCGGGTGCATCTTTGGTTCTCACGTTTGTGTTCGTTTCGGCCATGAACACCTCCTGGTTCAGCTAGTGTTTTCGAGAATTTATCGTGCACCAGAGAATTTTATCGTGTGCCATAAACTCTCATAGAAGCGGCCTTCTTCCACCAGCATAGGTGATCTCTATGGAAGGTATCATGCCATACCTTACTTGAACGTATCAAGATATAGAGATCATTAAAAGCGTAACTTACCCTAAATGCTCATGGCATGAGTGTACTATATCTTGGCTAGTACCGCCCGAGCCAGTCCACAGTTGTGTTTTCCCTTTGAACCTAATTATGAGGCACTCTCTATAATGGGTAGGGTTTCCCCATGGACTTTTATTGGATCATTGGCCGTAGGCCCATCGCTCTCCTTGACGTCTCGACCAACTCACTCGGTAGAGGTTTGGTTAGCGGATCCGCAAAATTTTCTTTCGACTTAACATAGTCAAGAGAGATGATCCCATTTTTAATTATTTTTCTAACGGTATTATGTCTACGACGGACGTGTCTAGACTTACCGTTATAAACTGCATTCCTTGCCCTTCCAATAGCTTCTTGACTATTACAATAAATGGATATTGGAGGGGCAGGCTTTTCCCAACAAGGAAGATCTTCCAAAAACTCTCTCAACCATTCAACTTCTTCTCCAGACTTATCTAAGGCAATGAATTCAGCTTCCATGGTAGATCTTGCATTACATGTTTGTTTGAAAGATTTCCACGACACGACACCACTTCCCTCTGGTATATCCCTCTGGCATGGCTGGATATTTTTGAAAAGGTAAATCATAGTCTTTGGTGTACATCAAATACCTAAGCAGCCTTGTAAGTGCTTTCCAGTGTTCTCTACCGGGATTTACTGAAAAACGGCTTAGCTTATTCACATCTTGAGCTATATTGGGTCGTGTTCCATTTATGACATATGTTAAACATCCTATGACCTGAGGATAGTCATCTTGTGATACACTTTCTCCTCTATTTTACTTAGGTGAACACCAGAATCAAAAGGAGTTCTCATGGGTTTGATATCATACTTCTTGAATCTCTCAAGCATTTTCTCAATGTAGTATGATTGAGATAATATCAACCCTTCAGGTGTTCTGGTGATTATCATTCCTAGAATTACATCAGCAACACCAAGATCCTTCATTTCAAATTTCCTGACCAATATACTTTTGGTAGGTTTTATCAAATCATTGTTACTACCAAAAATAAGCATATCATCTACGTATAGACAAACTATGACGTAGTCCTTTTGATTGCCTTTCACATACACACATTAAATTAGTCGGCCTCATTTATTTTAAATCCATTTGATAGCATTACACTATCAAATTTATCATGCCATTGCTTGGGGGCTTGCTTTAACCCATAAAGAGATTTTACTAAGCGACAAACCTTCCTTTCTTGTCCGGGGACAATAAAACCTTCAGGTTGTTGAATGTAAATCTCTTTCTCTAAGTCACCGTTCAAGAATGCAGTTTTTACATCCATTTGATGGATTTCCAAACCCTTCAATGCAGCTATTGCTAATAACGTTCGAATTGAAGTTATTCTTGTGCCGGTGAGTAGACATCAAAGTAGTCAAATTCTCCTTTTTGGTTGTATCTTTTGGCAACCAATCGAGCTTTGTACTTTTCAATTGTTCCATCAGGTCTTCTTTTCTTTTTGAAGATCCATTTGCATCCTAGAGGTTTAGATCCAGGAGGCAAATCTACCATTTTCCAAACGTGGTTAGACATGATGGAATCAATTTCACTTTTGATAGCCTCTTCCCATTGTGCAGCGTCCGGTGAAGACATGGCTTCTTTATAAGTTTAGGCTCATCGTCTAAAAGGTACACAACAAAATCGGGTCAAAAATCTTTTGATTTTCGAGCCTTTTTGCTGCGTCCCACTTCACATTCCTGCGTTATTTCGTTGTTATCTTTTATAGAATCAAACGGCCTCTTATGTGAGTTTGTTTCTTCAACATGGGTTGGAATGAAAACATCCATGTCGGAGGAGACAACTTCACAATCTCCCTTGAAAGGGAATACATTCTCAAAGAATGTTGCGTCTCTAGATTCTGTAAAAGTATCAGCCAATATATCCATGTTATGGGATTTGTGGACAAGGAAACGATATGCACTACTATTTTGTGCATAACCAACAAAGACACAATCAATGGTCTTTGGTCCAAGTTTTGTCCTCTTAGGTTTGGGAATGGCTACTTTATCTAAACATCCCCACACCTTTAAGTGATTAAAACTTAGCTTGCGCCCTTTCCATAACTCATATGGAATTTTGAGAGTTTTCTTGTGGGGCATTCTATTTAGAATGTAGTTGGCAGCTAAAATAGCATCCCCCCACAAGTCATTTGATGCACGAGAACTAACTAACATGGCATTAACCATGTCCTTTAAAAACCTATTCTTCCTTTCGGCTACTACATTTGATTGAGGCGTATAAGGAGCGGTTACTTGATGAATAATTCCATTTTCCAAACAAATTGATTCAAAGGGATATTCATACTCACCGGCTCTATCACTCCTTAGTGCCTTAATCTTCTTACCAAGTTGATTTTCAACTTCGGCTTTATAATGCTTAAAAGCATGAACCGCTTCATCTTTGCTTCTTAGCAAATACAGATAGCAATATCTAGTGCTATCATCGATGAAGGTAATGAAATACCTTTTCCCACCTCTAGTTTCTTCTTACTTAAGATCACATAGATCCGTGTGTATGAGGTCTAGCGGTTCCGTGTCTCTTGTGACAGTTTTGAAATGTTTTCTAATCATTTTGGCTTCCACACAAACTTCACACTTATGATTAGGATCAATATGACACTTAGGAAACAAATCTAAATGCATGAGTCGACGCAAAGTATCATAATTAACATGTCCTAATCTAGCATGCCAAATAGAAGAAGACTCAACCAAATAAGAAGAACACACTTTATTATTATTCACAACTTTGGGTACAACGGGAAGTACATTCATTTTGAAAAGACCATCATTGAGATAGCCCTTCCCTACAAACATATCATTTTTAGTAAGTACAAATTTATCAACCACAAAGACCAGCTTAAAACCATTGTTGCTTAAAAAGGGAGTCCGAAATTAAATTCTTACTTATGGCCTTCCGGCCTTTTACTCATAATTGTGGTTATCCTCTTCTATCTTCAAACGGGGCAATGAGCTCCTCTAGAGCCATTTCCTTACTCTCATACTTCAAGTAATTCTTGAAGTTTTTTCATTTCGGGGGTAATTTTTCAATTACCAC